GCCCGGGCGTCCGCGGCCTGTGCACTGTCTCGGCCCGCTGCGGCGAGGAGGAGGAGGAGGAGGACGAGGAGGAGGTGGAGGAGGAGGAGGAGGAGGAGGAGGAGGAGGAGACGGAGGAGGATGAGGAGGAGGAGGAGAAGAAGGAGACGGAGGAGAGGAGGAGACGGAGGAGGAAGGAGGAGACGGAGGAGGAGGAGGACGGAGGAGACGGAGAGGAGGAGGAGGGAGGAGGAGGAGGAGGAGGAGGAGGAGGAGGAGGAGGAGGAGGAGACGGAGGAGACGGAGGAGGAGGAGGAGGAGGAGGAGGAGGACGTGGGTGGACGACATCTCTCTCTCTCTCCTCGAGGGGCCCCAAGGCTATCGTGCACAGGCTGACCACCCAGCTCCTCGGCAGCAACTCCCTCCTGTTCAAGGGGATCCACAAGACACTCCAGAAGGCTGGTATCCACGTCCAGTTGACCACTAAGATGAGAGACCTCGGACTCGATTTTGCATCAAGAAGGCGATCCACACAGGTCGCTGAAGGCCGGCTGAAAAAGGCTTTCGCCAGGGCCGAGCGGGTGAAGAAGCTCTTGAAAGCCAATAGGCAAGCCAGCAAGTTCAATCTCACTGGGGTTAAGCCGCAAGCTTCCTGGGGAATGATGGCCCAAGGGGTCTCGCCCACCGCTCTGGCAAGAAAGGCGACCCTTTGTTTCTCGCTCGCCACGACATGGTCAAGGCTTGGCTGCACATCCTCCCCGCCCTCATGCGCGAGAGGGTCACTTTCCAAGCCGCCTGGACCAACTGCGTCGAGGCGATGAAGGCTGCTGTTCACCCGTGGGGCAAAGTCTGAGGTCCCATTGCTGCTCTAGTTACCACGCTTCTCCAGAATGGGTGGGACCCTCAGCTCCCCTGGCAGTGAAAGGACGCCATACGGAGACACCTACAACTTGGTTCCCGACGAGGCCCCACCAGAGAGAGCCTACTTTTACTTGGAGGTGGTCTCGGGCCTAACCCAGGCTGGCAACAGTACGTTCTAGCTGAAGTCGAAGGCACACTCGAGCAGCAGATCTGGAGGGACTTTACAGCCACACATTTGTGTGGCAGAGGTCTTGAGCACGGTGCCGACCTGACTGTGCTCTTGAGTCCCTTCCGTGCCCATCGGCGGGCAGAACGCCATGGACGTGCAGCACTGCTCGAGCGCGTAGCTACAAGTGCCCTGTGGCCAGGAGATCGGCGTGTCCCTGACGAGCCTGATCGATAAACATGCCCTCGGTGTATTGCTGCGCGCCTCCGCCCTCCGCCTGCCGAGGACACTCAACATCAACAGTGGACGTGCCCATGCCTTAGCGCAGCAGAACATACAGCCTTTGACCTCCTCCCGCAACTGCAAGGTGAACATGAAGAGCGGGCTTGTTTCTGGCATCGTGGGATCGTTCCGATCCTTTGGATACCCGCACATAGACAAGCTCCCAGAATGGACCTTTGAGTGCTCTGGAGGTGCTGTTCAGGACCAGCGTCTTCAGCTCTCCCCGGATGCCCTTGTAGGTGCCGATGGGAGCGTAGGCGACCACACCAGTAACCCGAGACTCCGTAGATGTGGTTGGGGCTTTGCGATTTGATCCCAGGGTGCCATCCTTGGGGAAGCCTGGGGCCCTCTCCTCGGTAGGCACCAGACGGTGCCCTTGGCGGAACTCGAAGGCTTCGCCCAGGCCCTCAACCACACCGCGGGACCAGCCACCTTTGTTGTAGATTGCGCTTACGTTTTGAAAGAAATCCATGCTGGCCCAGGCCAGGTCCCGCCCCTGCACGCAGCAGCGTGAGCTCGTTTTTGGCACGAATGTAACGCCAGGCCAGGGGAAGCGCGGTTTATCAAACTTAGAAAAGCCGTCTCACCGAGGCTGACATGGGCCGACTTGTCCCCGAAGGCGAATTCAGATGTAACGGGGCTGCTGGCGAGGCAGCTAAGAGGGGGGCTGCCCTTGCCCAACTCCCCCCGAATATCCAGCCGAGGTTGCCCCAATCGTTTCCCTGGCCAAGAAGGTCCTGGAACCCTTACTCGAGGTAGGTATGGCTGAGGTCCTGGCCAGGCAGGCTGACGCGAAAGCCACAGGAGCCCCGACCCCAGCCGATCTCGTTGCCGCCCGCAGGGAGCGGCGTGGTGTCCGAATTGCTGCACGGATGGGCGCCCGCCAAGCTACCGCTCACCAGGTGGTTCCACGGCGAGGCTCCTCCTGTTGTACTGTATGCCTGACGGCACCGACCCGCCAGTTGCCCACCAATGAGTGGCTGGCGGTACCGTGTAGAGGCCTTCCCCGTCAGATTCACAGCTCTCACCGAACTTGGTGCCTGCGCGGGCTGTGATGGTGCGAGGTGCGTGGCGGTTCGGTGCACTCGCTTCGACATCTTGGGGAAGGAGTGCCGGCGCCCACCAGCTGCTGGCAAGGAAGCATTGGATAGGCTAGCCAGAGGACTCCTCCCGCCGAACCGGGATGCCTGGCCAGACGAGTCAAGGCCAAGTCCAGAGTGAACTATCTTGCCCCATCTTTAAAAAGGCCTGGCATATGTACCAGACTCAGGCCCTCTTGTAGTCTTGCCCAGGAGGAGAAGGAGGAGGAGGAATAGGAGGAGGAGGAGGAGGAGACGGAAGAGGAGGAGGAGGAGGAGGAGGAGGAGGAGGAGGAGGAAAAGGAGGAGGAGGAGGAGGAGGAGGAGACGAAGACGGAGACGGATAGTGAGGAGCAGGAGGAGGAGGAGACGGAGAAGGAGGAGGAGAGGAGGAGGAGGCAGAGGAGGAGTAGGAGGAGGAGGCGGAGGAGGACCAGGAAGAGGAGGAGGAGGAGACGTATGAGGAGGAGGAGGAGGAGGAAATGGGAGAGGTGGAGGAGGAGGAAGAGGAGGAGGAGGAAGAGGAGGAGGAGGAGGGGGAGGAGGAGGAATATGATGATGATGATGATGATGATGATGATGATGATGATGATGACGATGACGATGGTGATGATGATGATGATGATGCTGACGATGCTGCTGATGGGGATGATGATGATGATGATACTGATGACGACGATGATGGTTTCGATGATGATGATGATGATGATGATGATGATGATGATGATGATGATGATGATGATGGTGGGGATGAGGATGAGGATGATGATGCTGCTGATGATGAAGATGATGATGATGATGATGATGATGATGATGATGATGATGTGATGTGATCATGATGATGATGATATGATGATGATGATGATGATGATGATGATGATGATGATGATGATGGTGTGGTGGGTGGTGGTGGTGGTGGGTGGTGGTGGTGGTGGTGATGATGATGATGATGATGATGATGATGATGAAGAAGAAAAGAAGAAAATAAGAGAAGAGAAGAAGAAGAAGAAGAGGAGAGGGAGGAGGAGGAGGAGGAGGAGGGGGGAGGAGGATGAGGAGGAGGAGGAGGAGGAGGAAGGAGGAGGAAGGGAGGAGAGAGGAGGACGGAGGAGGAGACGGAGGAGGAGACGAGGAGGAGACGGAGGAGGAGGAGGAGGAGGAGGAGGAGGAAACGGAAACGGAGGAGGAGACGGAGGAGGACGGAGGAGGAGAAGAGGAGGAGGAGGAGGAGGAGGAGAGGAGGAGAAGGCGACGGAGACGGAGGAGGAGACGGAGGAGGAGACGGAGGTGGAGACGGAGGAGGAGAGGGGAGGAGACGGAGGAGAGGGAGGAGGAGGAGGAGGAGGAGGAGGAGGAGGAGGAGGAGGAGGAGGAGAGGAGGAGGAGGAGGAGAGAGGAGGAGGATGATGAGGAGGAGGAGGAGGTGGAGGAGGAGGAGGAGGAGGTGGAGGAGGAGGAGGAGGAGTTGGACGACGACGACGAGGAGAGGTCGACAACGGAGGGCCAGCAGCAACAGCAATGGGAGCATGGGGGCGGCGGGGCCGGGAAGGAGAAACACCAGACGCCAACCAGAAGGGAGCGGACATGCCATGACGGAATACGGCAGCATGCCAGAAACAACACCAGGTGAACTGTCTGCGTCACGTTGGTGATCGTTGTTTATTCATTGTTTTGCCGATCGTTGCGGGCCTTCGCACCCCCCTCCCCCCCCCCCCTGTGGAGTGGATCTTGGCCGTTTTTTGGCGCCTGTTTCGAGCAGGTGGAGTCTCACCCATGAAACGCACGGTTCCAAATAGTCGCACTGAGCAGGGGTCTGGAGCCAGACCCCCCCCTCCCCTCGGCAACACCCCAACATACTTATACTATATGTGCGTCGCCCCCCCCGGGGCGACGCGCGCACCGAGAAATCTTATAGTATATGCGTCGTGGCGGGCGCTTTCTGGCCACACCGCTCGGGAAACGATATACTACAAGATGGGTATACTATATGTTCGGGTCGGACGCGCGCCTCCAAGGAGGACATATAGTACTAGTATGTCCATGTGCGTCCCATCCCCCCCCTTCCGCCCAATGTCGAAACAGCGAACGAAAAAACGTTCACCTGGGCCGCCTTCGGTCGCGACGTTGAGCTGAGGACCGCTCCTGGCTCGGGAGGGGGCTCTGGCGCTCGGGCCGTGGCGTGGGTCGAGGTCGGGGGGCCTCTTCGTGGCCTAGGCTCAAGTCCTCCTCCTCCTCCTCCTCCTCGTCCTCCTCGTCCTCCTCCTCCTCCTCGTCCTCCTCCTCGTCCTCCTCGTCGTCCTCCTCCTCCTCCTCCTCCTCCTCCTCCTCCTCCATCTCCCCTTGCGGCCTCCCCCTCTTCGTGCACGTCCCTCTACACGGGGAACTTTCCAAAAGAGACACAATATGTCTAGGGACGACTTCTCCACCATGTTTGAGCATGTGTTGCGTCTTTTTTATCGTCCGTCCAAAATCCGCCTGTATGGGGGGCAGGCCCGACCTCAGCCTAGGCTCGCCGTGGCCTGAAACGTCCCTTTGCTCCTTGCTCGGCGTTCCGCATGGTAGCACGATGACTGCACGAACACCAACTCTGCGGCTCGGGACCACTCGCCTTTCGGGCCTTGGCATCGTAGCGT